GGTGGGGGGGGTCTCTGAATTGAGCGATCAATTGTTAGACCCGGACGTCCCAACACTTGCTTCGCAAGACAAACTCAAGGTATCCCCTAAAGGGCTACCTTTCGTGATGTGATGAGTGAACATGTTGACAAAGCATGATATCAAATAAAGAAACATTCAGAATTCAGTTCATCAGTTCAAAACAAACTCTTCTAAGTTGACTAGATGTTGACTAGATCACCTCCAACACACCTCCTCCCATACCATATTCAGTGCGGTATGGCACAAACAACACAGGCATCCCACGGATTTTAAACCCACTGCATCCCACTGCTATGAGTCCATTCCAAGTCAACTTCGAATTCACGCCACTTCGCCCTGCCCTTCCCGGGCTCCTCCGACACTTTGCGTGACTGCGTGAACGCCGAGGGCAATCTTCGCTGTGGCGTCTGCCGCAGAGGAAGTGGGTCCTCAATGAAGCTGCGGTCTGATGAAAAAAAATAGAATACATCTCAAAGGGCTAGTGGACTTGAAATATATAAGTTATGGGAGTTGCTGGTACAACTTTACCTTTGGGAAGCCTGAAAGAGGATCAAAAGCATCACAAACACATGCTCGGGAGCCAAGTGCACCTCTAAACTGCATTGTGATTCATTCAAAAAATCGCTGCACCGAAAGACAACCTGGTGAGCTGACATCGTCTTACCCCTGCCTTCACTGCACACAAAGCAGGCCACACAAAACGGGTCGATTTGCGAGAAACCCGCCTGCATCCCTGCCAACTCTGTGCGCGGAATCTCCTGCTCTTCACGTTCGAAGAAAACGTCGACACCGTGTGCACGGACAGGTACCCACGCCAGCGTAAGCAGCCGAACCGTTGTGTATTTTTGACTATCGGATGTGGCCATGGATACTAGTGAACATGTTGACAAAACATGATATCCAATACGGATCAAATGACTTGAAAAATGTATCCTGTTCTGGCGTTGGTACATGTGGTCAGTAACAACACTGCCGACAAAGTCTTGTAATTTGCAAAGTCAGAGTCTACCTGCTGAAGTTCACTATAGAATTGCGAATGAACACACAACACTCTCACAATTGAACACATGAAGAAACATTCAGAATTTTGTTCATCAATTCAAAACAAACGCTTCTAAGTTGACTAGATGTTGACTAGATCACCTCCAACACACCTCCTCCCATACCATATTCAGTGCGCTATGGCACAAACAACACAGGCATCCCACGGATAAACCCACTGCATCCCACTGCTATGAGTCCATTCCAAGTCAACTTCGAATTCACGCCACTTCGCCCTGCCCTTCCCGGGCTCCTCCGACACTTTGCGCGACTGCATGAACGCCGAGGGCAATCTTCGCTGTGGCGTCTGCCGCAGAGGGAGTGGGTCCTCAGTGAAGCTGCGTGACGAAAAGTGGGTCTGATGAAAAGAAAAAAACACATCTCAAAGGGCTAGTGGACTTGAAATATAAGTTATGGGAGCTGCTGGTACAACTTTACCTTTGGGAAGCCTAAAGCAGGATCATTTGAGTAGGAGGGGGTGGACGAAAGGTAGGTCACTAAGTTCAACTTCTGATCAGAAAAGTGAGAGGAGAGAGAGAGAGAGAGAAGAGAGGGAGAGAAAGCGAGAGAGGGAGAGAGGAGAAGAGAAGAGAAGAGAAGAGAAGAGAAGAGAAGAGAAGAGAAGA